CTTTCTTGCAGAGATAGGAAGATTGATCCCACTCGCATGTCTGTATGAGACATATGAGCCAGGGAGTTATCTTAGTTTAGCATACAGACTGGAACATTTGGGGAAGATAGCCTTACTCTGTTCAGCGGGAACACAATCCACCTACTAGCCAATCACAGCTGAGTATACCATAATAAGAATCAGGTCATCATATTTTAGGCTCAATAAGCCTCGTCAAAACATATTTCTACAACATAAGATAAAGATAAGAGGTACTTTATTGATCCCAAACTGGAAAATGTTTTAACATGTAACATGCATCTACAACCAGCATCTTTAACCTCATGTACTTTCCTCCAACTCTTTCTATTTATTCGAAAACAGCTAAAGAGACCTCCGCTACCATAAACCCAAATCAATTAGGAAAAAGTCTAAATCGCAGCAGCTGCATGCCTTTAAAACCTTTTTGTTATGGAAGGTCTATGGAGAAAGAGCAATTAAACACTACGATATGTCTTTATTTGCAGGTTTGTTGTGTTGCCATGGCGAGGCCCGGGCGCCCTGTGTCTGAAAACTACCAGCCGGTCTGGTCTTCAGTCAGTCAGTCAGTCTCCTACTCCAGTGGAGCGAACGCTATGGTGTCAGAGGACGGAGATGATCATGCAGGCATTTTATCCCTCTCCAAGAGCTCCATGGATGTGGTCATGGCAACGGCACCGCCGCACATGCGTGACCCAGCCTGGATCGGTATGGACCTGAGACGCAGCTCCAGCACCAACACACACATCGAGCAGAACTCTGTGACGCTGCAGAAGCTGCACCCTCGCATGTGGCAGCACATCAACTCCGCCAACACGGACATGCACAAAAGCCCCCCCGCCCTCAGCGAGCGCTGGATCGCTAACATGCATCGCTGGAGTGAGAGCAGTACCAGCACACACAGTCGCAGCAGCACTCCAGATACAATTGTGTGGAAAGATGGGACCTCACGCCCTTCGAGTCTAACCCAGGAAACCCCTTGCTCTCCCTTTTCCAAAATGACCACTTACTCTCCATTCATGTCGCCGCTAGAGGCAACTGAAGATGTCTTAACTTCTTCTTCTTCAACACTTACGCTGAGCCCACAGCATCAGGTAGACTTACATGCGCCCTCGCCATCCCCACTTCAGTCACCAATGCGTGCTCTGACCGCGTCACCCTTGCCATCCCACTTCCCATCCCACTCCCCCAATCTCCTGCAGCCCACTAACACGGAGGATGAGGGCTTCCTGGAGAATAACTCGCTTTCTTTTATATTCCCATCCCCGATACCATCATCTGTTAGCCTAGCAGGGTTAGGTGCATCAACAGATCCTGAATGCCTTGATGATGGCATTATAGAAGAGCTGTACAGTCCTGGAGGCTCACAGTTTTCACGGGGTGGAGAAGTGATGAGCCCAGGGAAAATGTTAGGCTACCAGACGCCTAATTCCCCAGCAGACGGACAGGAATCAGAAAGAGGAGCGTCAGTCAGCCATCTTGAGCTGCCATGGCAACAGGGACAAAGCCGGGGTTGGACGTCACCCCTGGTTTCTTCCTTGAGCGACTCTCTATTGGGCGACTGCTGCAGGTGCAACTTGAACAGCAGAGAGAGCATCAAAAAGGCTCCGGAGTTCAGGGAGGAAGGGACAATGACGACACAGAGGGAGTTGGTGGACGCAGCGGTGCAGACGATCTCTCCTTACGGCTCCTTGTGGGGCCTCAAAAGGGACACCTCCAACATGGGCTCCCACTCCTTTCTGGGTTCGCCGCCCGGATCAAGACTGAACCTGAAGACTTTAGTGGGGTCCAACTCCAACCTGGTCTCCCCGACTTCCAGCATGTTCCCAGCCAACAGCAGAGAGGGTGAGGAGCAGGAGGAGAGGCAAGGAGATGACCCGACGTGGGATGTTAACGCAACATCGTCATTGCACGACCATGAGAGGAGGAGGTCGTGTCTAAAGATCTTCCAGGGAGTGGAAAGGGACCAGTTTGGAAGGAGGGGGAGCATGAAGCAGGTGCAGTGGGACGAGGACGGGATGACATGGGATGTTCACGGAGCGTCGGTGGATCCGCAAGAGCTGAGCACAGCCATACGGAAACACCTGGAAATCCAGAACAGCCCCAGATTTCCCAAACTCGCCTCGAAGAAGAAAAAAGCACCGATGCCTCCTCTCCTATCGAATGTGGTGAAGGTCTTTGCCCCAGAACATCCTCCGCCTGTGACGATTATTACCTCAACTTTTACAGGGATGGGAGAGGCAGACGAAGGATGGAGTGAAGTTGAGGGGGAAGGGAGAGGCCATAAGGAGGGAAGATTAGAAGCTGGTCGTAGATTAAGCAGAGCTGAGGCATCTTATGCAATAGAAGATGATGAGGTTTACGGAGATGAAGGCAGCAGACATCCAAAATCAACCTTGCATGGGAGTGGTAAGAAGAGGTCATTGAGGAGGCCTGGGTGGTGTGGAAGCTCCAGGAATGAAGATGACTGAGCCTGGAGACCAGACTTATTATTGACTATGGATAAATTATGGCTGATCCGGTCCTGAATTTGCAGAGCTCTACCAATAAACTCTACATGAAGCTCAGCTCAATTAACTTGATCATTTTTCCAGTTAAACTGCATTGTAATTACATTTTGAGGTCAATGTATTTTCCCAAGAGCCACAGTGGCAATTTTAAACACATTATGGTTTGAAGTACAAATAGCAAAAGCGCAACAACACTACTTGGCTATGTTTATGCAGTACTATTATTCTGCTTAAAATACTGTTACGCCAATAAAGATATGGATGTACCTCTTTTAAAAGGTACGTTTGACTGAAAATGTTTCTTCCAAAATGTTATTGGTAGTATATTTAGTGGGACCATGTTGCATTGGGAGGAGCTCTCACTATGCTTGTTTTTCAGATACATTTGATCAATTTGGTTTCATCTACAGTTAATATTCTAATACAATATGCTTGAATGAATCATAAATCAAGGTTCAGTAGTAAGGATTCACCTTCAAGTAGACATTTGTTGTTTTTAGAAAGTAAAAAGTAAACTTAATATTATCATAACTATACTTCTGAAGTTTACTTGAGCCTCATACAGAATTTTTTTTGCCAATACTGACAATTTTTATATATATGCTTTATTTAACCAGGTAAAAGACTCATTGAGATTACAATCTCTTTTCCAAGAGCAACCTGGCCAAAAAGGACAATGATTATGTACTCAAGTAAAAAGCCTGTATACTTCTGTCAACAGTTCTCTTTGTGCACTTTAGTTTTTGCACACTATTGTAACACGTTTTTACAGTCTTTGTTTGCCACAAATCTTCAAGCCTGAGTCGACTAATTTCTCTGTATAAAATAAACCAACCAAGATCTGCATTTCTCTCCAGCTGACTAATGAGAGAAGTGCTGGGTAAACACATTTACACTCAAATATTTACACATATAATTACACAGGAGGTGACTCAGCTGAAATATGTTTGTTGTTTGTGAATAAACACCAACTCAAAACCCCCAATAACTCTCCCTCGCTCTCTTCCCACACTCTCAGCCCATTCACTGTGGAAAAAAATACACAAAGTTGAGTTGTGTGTAAACTTGGTGAACCACAGTGGTGAGGTTTGACCATTCGGGCGTTGCTATTCAGATGAGCGGGCACATTCTCTCTCATTCACCACAGAAAAAAAAGCTCAACTCACTAGTGGCTTCCACTGCAGTCCTCATATTTTCACAGATGTGTGTTGAGTGGACATTAGGGTCTCTGTTGCTGTCACTTTAAACAATCCACAAAAAAAACAGTAAATATACTTAGAAACTGATTAAAAAGAGGATTAAAATGATGTTTCTATGTTGTATAAACGGACTATACGAGCATATATGCCGATCAACACTGGAGTTTTTCGGCAGTCACCAATATCAGTAAGGCTTTTTAAAACACGTGATAAGAATATATTAGCTAAACATAAAACAAACATGTTATTCTTCTTTAAAATTGTGTGACTTTGATATACATTAAATTACGGTATATCACACAAAACTAACACTAAGAGTATATAGCCAGGATTGTTGCTTTGTGAGACTAAATGCTTTAGCTAACTGCTAATTAGCGCCATGCTAAATGCTCACAGTAATATTGTTTACTAGTTCGAGTTTAGCAGTTATAATCTTGAGCATGTTTAACATCTCGGTTTAGAATGTTAGCATGCATTAGCACCTAACACGTGGTACACATATATAGCTGATATAAATGCCATTTGTTGGCAGGTATTTAGTCATTGACCCTTAGACCTAATGGTGATGCTAGATAGAAAGTCAGGAGATTAAAAAGATGAAACAATGATCCTCAAAGGAACATGAATGTCACTACCAATTTTCATGGCAATCCATCTAATAGTTTTTAAAAAATATATTTCTTTTTTTTTTAATTCTGTTTATTTGCCAAACAGTCTCAAAAAAGAAAGAAAAGGATAACTATCAAACACATATAACAATATGAATAACAGCAGTAGTTATACATTTGGTTACATTTAAGGAAGAAAAACAACTTTAAAAAATAAGAATAAACTTGTACTCACCGTTTAAATGTCTATTAGGTTAACAAAACATATCTTACAGAGTAACGTTTACAAAGGATGCACTGTAGTTGTGAGAGTTTAGATGTAAAGGTCAAGTTCAGGTCACTATGTCACTGCTGTCATGTGACATGATGTGATGTTTGTGTACAGTGCTGCATTGTGCAGTGTGCATGTTGGTGTACTGTGTGTGAGCATACTATATGTATGTGAAAGTGCTGATGGGACTCCCCAAAATGCCCTTTTTTTCTCAGCGGCAGTGAAAACCCGCAGTTGGAGGAGAACAATCCAGCGCTTGGCCTTTGTTGTGGCTTATTGTCCCTGTGTGTGTTTGTGTGTACTGTATGTGTACCTGTGCATGTACATTTGTGTGCGTTGGCTGCTTGGTATAAATAGCGTGGGACATTTGCCGGCCGGGGATTCTGTGATGAAGATGGCTGTACCTGGACCTCCGCTGCTCCTCTTTCTGTCTCTGCTGCTGCCGCTGCTGTTGAGCAAGGCATCTCTGCCAGCAAATGCATACACGCTCACCCCCGGACGGCAGCCCCAGCACAAGCTCCTCCACCTGGGTGAGGGCTGTTAAAACATGCAAAACCTTACTTTTGAATATCAACTTTCTGGTTTTGGAGCTTTACTTTTTTTTTTGTTATGCTTCCCTCTCAGACTGGCCAAGGGATTGTGGTTTGGCTCACTTCAAGCCAAACGTAGCTGAGAGGATTGTTTCCGGGAACGAGGCCAGACCCCACTCCTGGCCCTGGCAGGTGTCTCTGCAGGTACATCTGCCTCTCCATTGATGTAGTTCAGTTTAGGGAGGTCTTAAATTCAATGCTATATTCAATGTTATATTCAAAAATCCAATACACTAAAACCAGATACACTTTTATTTATCCTAAGACTGCAACTACGGGTCTTAAAGAAGTTTATCAATTAATCTTGTATTGTATTGAATGTCAGAATATAGTGCCCATGATAAGTTCCCACAGCAAGAGGTGACGTCTTTAAATGATCTATTTCATATGCACAACTTTTTTCAAAGCAAATAGATGCTTGTTAAACAGAGAAAATCAGTAAATTCTCTTATTTTAAATGGTAGAAAGGAGTGGTTAAGCACACATAAGTTTGACACGTGTATTTCACTAAATTAATTGACTAATCACTTGAGAATATTACAATTTGTAATTAACATTAGCAGGAGAAAATGTGTTATTATCATAGATAAATACGCTTTTATGTAAATCGCAGAGGTGGAAAGTAACTGAGTTAATTTACGTTACATTACATGTTAGACACTTTTATCCAAAGCGACTTACATACTCAGTACTGTGGGCAATACCCACAGGAGCAATTTGGGGTGAAGTGTCTTGCCCAGGGACACAACGACATGCTGACTGCAGCGGGACTCGAACATGCTATCCCTTGATTAGAAGATCAGCGCACTAACCAACTGAGCCACAGCCACCCTTTAATTTACTCAAGTACGGTACTTTTTGAGGTACATGTACTTTACTTGAGTATTTCCTTTTTTGCTACTTTGTACTTCTACTCTAATAGATTAATTGAATACCATAAATTAGCAGATTTGGATTATTGATGTGAATCCACACTTAAATAAGACTGTATTAGTTCCACCTGGAGTAAATTCACAAGCTACCCTGCAGTATACAAAGTCATTAAAACTAGCTGCACCTTTATCAGCTTTGACAAAACTTTGATAAATCAATAATTATAATCAAAACATATAATATATATTATTCTAAAATGGGTCAATTTTCACAATGAGTACTTTTCCTTTTGGTACTTTAAGTATAATTTGATGAAACTACTTTCCTACTGTTACTTGAGTAGCATTTTGAATGCAGGACTTGAACTTGTAACAGAGTATTTCTACACTCTGGTACTCAAGTACAAGATGAGAGTACTTCGTCCACCTCTGGTAAATGGACACTAGAATAGGGCTAATTGGGTCATATATTAATACATGTGTGAATGAACTGATTTAACATTGATGCTCTAACAAATGTGAACCAACCACATGGTGAGCAACGGAACATCCTTGTTTACTCACTAATAACAAATCATAATTAATCATCCATCAGGTGATCATTTTTAAAGTAAATTAAGTGTCACCAAATGTTGTCACATCACTGAGGAGGGTGTCTGGTTGTCTCCTGTAGGTTCGTCCCAGGGGAAGCAAACATTACATTCACGTCTGTGGAGGAACTCTCATTCACAAGAACTGGGTCCTTACTGCTGCTCACTGCTTCCAAAAGTAAGAAACCGTGAACACAGAAGAAGAAAGACAGAAGGTTTGAAAAAAGAAACAAAATGAGAACCACTATGGTCTTGCTTTAACTTTTTGTTTGGCCTCTCAGGGGGAAAGCTGAGGATGCTGGGAGTTGGAGGATCGTCCTGGGGAAGCACCAACTGAGACGCTCGGAGAAAGCAGAAAGGGTCTTTCCCGTGAAGAGGATCTACCGACACGAGAACTTCCGTTACCCGGCTCACAGCGAGCTGGACTACGACATCGCCCTGGTGAAGGCTGCCACAGATATCGTCCCCACAGACTTTATCCGCTACGCCTGCCTGCCGCGCAAGCAGACCAGTCTCAACCCGGGACACTACTGCTGGGTCACCGGCTGGGGAGACACCCGAGGTGAGAGGAATTGTTAAAGGCACACTTCCCCTCAAAATGATCATTTATTTATCAGTTACTTAGATTGTCTTATCTTGAATTGAAAAAGAAAAACATGCTTATACACAGTGAACTTAGAAACTAAAATCAAAGAAAAATCTTGATGAATGAAACTAAATGGGGGCTGTGTTAACAACAGTTAACATATGTTAAAAAAAAAACCTGTTTAAAAACTAAAAACACCCAAACTCACGCATTATATATTCCAATTGTCTAGATTGACCTAAAATGCAGTTTAAATAAAAATTGTTGTCCTTTACTCCATTTCAGGCGGGAAGGAGAATGTGTCTCTGGCAGAAGCCCTGAATCAAGCCCGCCTACCCATCATTGGCCACAAGACCTGCCGGCAGAAGAAATTCTGGGGCGAGCGTGTCCGAGACTCCATGATCTGTGCCGGGTTCAGAGACACTGAGGGCCCGCCTGCTGCATGCCAGGTATGACAAACTTAAAGCTGCAACTAACTAACAGTTACTTTCATTATGAATCTGAAGATTCTTCAGAGTAATATCGTGGTCTAAGAAATGTCAGAAAATAGGCTAGTGAGAATCAACCATCCCAGTTCCAAGGGGATTAAGAGGCCTTATTATACTTATTTGTTTTTTTTTATTTCCTGTAGTGTGTTATATTGTTTTTTGTGCATATAAAATGTATAAATGGTCTCCAAAGGCTACAATCCCAAAGTTACTCTCCCCCAAATATACGGCCCCCCCTGCCTGAAACACCTTGACTGTTAACTCCAGCGACAAAGTGAACATCACTACGTAACAGTTGCGATTCTATTGGCTAGCGCTCCAATACAATGGCTAAGGGGCGGGACATCTCTAGGCAGTTGACCAATCACAACAAAGTCGGCCAGCTAACCAATCAGAGCAGACTGGGCTCTGGTTTCAGACACAGGGCGAAAAGAGGTGCTGCAGCACGAGAAGAATAAAGAGCTTTTTGAGCATTAAAGCATGGAGACATGTCCCAGTAGAGAGTAGAGGCACAAAACGAATATGTACCTGAAAAAGAGCATACTTTAAATTTGAATACAATATAAAACACAAAGCAAATCTCATTATTTGAGGCAGGTTCTGCCATTTAAGCACAAAAAAATACTTTAATTTATTAGTAAATGATTTGATAACTTTTCTCTTGATTGATATATAATTTTGTCGACTAAACATTGAACCCTAGACTCCGATTTACTGAATATTTTGGGGGTAAAAGAAATGATGAATTTTTAAAAGATGCTACCTCCTCACCATCTCTCAGGGTGACTCCGGCGGCCCTCTGCTGTGCCAGCAGGGTCACGACCGCTGGGAGGTGCACGGTGTGGTGAGCTTCGGCCCGATTGGCTGCACCGTGGAGAACAAACCCAGCGTCTTCACCCGCACCGCTGCCTACATCCCCTGGATCGAGGCGACGCGCATCAGGGACTTCTTCCTGCACTAAACGTGTCCCCGGCTCTGTGCTGGCAGCAAACTTAAGCTCTGTTTAATGTCTGACGTCCACATGAGACAACAATCTGTTTTGATGTGCCATAGTCCATTCAGCAACCACTTCAAGATGTAAATACAAGTTCTGAATGGGCAACTATTGTTTTAAACACATCATATTTGACAGTGTACACTATGCACTGCTCTGAACAAAGTCGTACAACGCTTTTACCTCCAGTCTACAATTGTGCAATAAAATAGTTAAAAGCTAAATCTTTGTCAACATTTTTTTAATATCGTTTTTAATACAGCGAGTGTGATGGAGACACCAACAGCTTTACAGTAATTTCTTCTTGCACAGTAAAACAGGAACCACTGCATACACGCTTCAATAAATACAACAGTATTTAGAACTGACCTTAAGGCTTCGTTCTGTGTTTGTACATCGTAAATGAAAATCTCTTTCCTCGTCTACTAGAAGAGTCTTTCAGTCCAGAAACAGAACATGCTGTCGTTCATCAGGTGAACCACACACACCAGGTGTCACCCTTTGGCTTATTTAACCCATATATCACAGGTTCATTGATTTCAAAACTAGCATCAAAGAAGACTTATAAGTCTCACATAAACAATAATATAACAAATGACACACTTCTATAAAAAACCTTTCTTATGATTAATCAGATCAGTGACAGGAATCCCACAGATAAATGAAGAGAGAGGGGTGTTATAGGACGGTCTACATTTCGATTCCCAGCGGAGTTTAGTCCAATCTTCCTTTTCTTTTCAACCACATCCTATGTTCCCCAGAATGCTCCTGGAAAGGAAAGTGAACCAGAGTACTGGGAAGAGCCCACACTTCCCTGAAAAGCACACTGCATTTGACCAGAGTGTAATTCCTCTTAGCGCTGTGGTGAAAGGCTGTGTCCTGGAGAGATATTTGGCCCTAATGTAAAGCAGATCTGTGTGGAAGAGGGTTAGTACAGCCTGGAGGACGGGGAGGGGGAGGAGCCTTTGAGGTGGTCCCAGTTGCTGTAGAGAGCGTAGGCACCAGATAAGGCTAAACCAGCCAGGCCTCCTCTGGCTACACCTCTCAATCCACCTGCTAACATAGAGGAAACAGAATCAACGATAGAGCTGTGTATGAACATTGCAGAATGCATTAAAACATGCCAAATAACAACTTCAGAAAGATTTCTGTTTTATGGCTCTACGGCGTAGTTTTAAGCTTTATTCTCAACGTTGACACTCCACACTAATTTATTTAAAACCAACATGTTGCACAGTTTTTCTATGCATGTATATTCATTGTGTTTTAACCTGCTTGGATTGTTGTCGACTTATGTGATCTAAAAAAGGAAAATAACTTCAGGCCATAGTCCAAAGTTCCATATTATAAAATCAGGTGTGTTTGTGCACTCCAATTATTTAATGACTGTAGAAATGGGACCTTAGAAAACATTTATTCAAAAATGAAGACTTATGACTCTTGCAAGGTAGAAATAGGCATCAATTTAATAGATTACTTATAAAGAAAAGTATATAATCCCTAGCTTAATAAACAATCACTTGTTTCAGCCCATTAGCATTGAAAACATTGCATTTTGGTGTTCAGTAGGGTTAAAGTTGCATTCATTTAATTGAGAACTTGTGAAAACATAATTTTTCCGCAGGAGGATTTTATATGGAGACAATGAATGTTAAAATCCAGCCATCTTTGTTTCATTAAAACACATCTGCAAATAGCACGCACATAAGTGGTAGGTGTACAACAGAGAAGACACTTACTGCTGGATTTAAAGAGCATCCCAGTTAGCGTCCCAGCGGCCACCGTGTTGATGTCGTCTTCTGCTCCTCTGGCCTTCTCTATCGCCACGCCAAAAACACTATATAACAAGGCTGCAACGGCAAAGAAAAAAACAAAAAGGTTTCATAAAAGAAATATACCAAACATCAACAAACATTCATAAAAGCACTCCAATAGAATATGTAGTGTATACAAATAAAGTAAAGCTTCCCTAGATGTTGCAGTATGATTTGAGGTTAGTTTTTTTATAAGGGTCTTACTAGGGCTGTGCAATTAATCGTATTTTAACCTTGATTAAAACGATTATTTTTGCTGCATTCTCTTTCACAATGATGCTCTCAATTTGTCTTGCGTTATACATTCTGCCCGCGCATGCGCTCTCACCCCTCCCTAAAAGCCCTCTTGGCAGGTTATGTTGTGACTTGCAGTCCGTTTAATAAAGCAATATAAAGACGTTACAAGGGAAGCTTTAGTTGCCATGTCTTTATTCTCCGGTCTCTAGCGTACAGTCAACTTTGACTAACCTCGTCAAGCCGGAACCTCTTAGCTCGCTACTTCCGGATAAGGGGTTACCAAAATAAGAGTACTGCGTATAGCAGATTAAAGGTGACAGGTTGTGGGTGACATTAGAGATCATATTTATAGATGTTTAGTAGGTTGTGGAAGTGCGCTCCAAAATATTTGTTGATCTTTATTGGTATTTACTATTTTTGATATTATTTATTTAAATGTAGATATAAATGTATTTTTTTTTTAAAGGTTCAATAAATGGATGTTTTCAAAGTCAATGAAGAATCGTATTTAATAACCGTGATATCAATTTTGACCAAAAATAATCGTCTAATAATAGGTCTTACCAACAGAGCCCAGAGAGTTGGCCCATGAAGCCCCCTGTCTGGTCACCATGTTGAGGATCCTGAAGGGAGAATGCAAACATTTAGAAGAAGTGATCCAGGTGTAATTAAAGAAATATTACTGAAGTGTCCATACTCACTGCACATTACGAGGTTTGGACCATCCCAGGCCTCTAGTCTCCTTCAGGCTCACCCTGAGACCATTTACAGCCCCAAATGCTGCTCCTGAAGTCAAAACAAGTTATGTTCCAGTTATTATTTATTTAACAGGGACGGTGCACATTAATTATCATTAGGCGCGTTCACACCGCAGTACTTTTCCCACTTTAGTTCCGATATAGTTCCGAAATGTCGCGTTCACACCAAAAAGAGCCGGAACTAAAATTAGTTCATAAGAACCTTTTTACCCCTGCTAGAGAGCAGGGACTTTCGTGGGAGAAAAAGGTTCCTATGTCTGATTGGCTGGGCGGATTGCAAACCACGCCCCGTCAAACTCCCAAAAAGTTTTGTGAAGCCGCCATTTTATTATCCTCGCATTAGCATTGTTAGCATTAGCCCAGCGCAGAAACGCAGAGAGACTAACTTATGGCAACACAAAATAAAACATGGGAGCGGTGGAGATGAGGAGGTGTCGGCGTTCTGGCGATTTACTCTGAAGGCTTCAGTAGAAGCTGCTGGGACTCCCAGCAGCTTCTACTGAAGCCAGTCCCTAACTCCAGGGACTTCGGGCGGCAGTATACGCCGTGAAGTGGTTTGCAGCCTGCCAGTAAACCCAAAGCAGAAGAAGAACAAGTGACGTCAGCGGCTTCATTTGACTAATCCACCCCCAGGGACTTATTCTGGTGTGAACGCGATCTGTACTTAGTTCATGAGAACTAAAAGAGTTCTAAAGAGTTCTCATGAACTAAGTTCTCATGAACCTTTGTGGGAAAAGTACTGCGGTGTGAATGCGCCTATTTCTGTAAATGTGCCAGAGTTAGCGAAGAGGCTATTTTTCATCTGTAGTCCCTACAGTCAATGTAAAACACATTTAATTTTAAACAAGTAAATACAATAAATGTAAAACATGGAACACACATTACTGGAATACTTAAATAAAAAAATGTAAACGACAGAACAATAAAACAAAAGAACATGGCAGTGGGTTTTAAGGAGCAGATGATTGAGTCAGTGTTGGCAGAGCTGATTCCTCACTAACCATATTTTGAGTTGTAATGTAAATAACCCGAATGTAGTCTGGTCTCTGATTGGAGAAGGGATTGAGTTCCATCGCTGAGCAGCTTTAACAGAAAATGAAGACTGACTGAAAGAACTTTTTCTGAGTGGAATAATGCAATCTCCTCTTGCTGCACCTCGTTATCCTAGTTGCAGTTGTGCGTATATTAACAAACTGTCTAAGAGGAGGTGAGGTAAGGCCGTTGACAATCTTGTAAAACAGGCAAACATTTGCTTGTTTCAAGCTCAACAAGTTGTATGTTTTGAGTATTGGGCAGTGATAATAAACAGATTTTTTGTCCAGTATTTTGAGTGTTTGTTTGTATTAATGTGTGACTCATTCTTTGCAGAATGTATACCAGTTTAAATGAACCTGTTATTTATTATTTTGTAAAGCACTTTAAACACCCCGTGTACGAAATGTGTACTCATATTCTACACACGTTTATCATTTTTACTACAAAGCAAAAAATGATGTAAAGTGAAAGGGATTTATATACAGTAAATATATATATAATGAACACGTGTACTTTGCCTTACCAATAATGCACGAGCCTCCAATGGTAAAGAAAGCCAGTTCAAACCTTCCTCTTGTTTTATTGGCACCGGTGGGCAGAATAAACTCATCTGTGTCCTGAAACACAACATCAACAGCTGTTAGAAAATAAATGTTAAAAAAGACACATTTATAAATGTCCATTTGTACTGTTATTTTGACTTGCCATATGCCTCTATTTATATAACATTTGAGTGATGGAATATTGTTTTGGATTCACTTAAAATATAAGGTAAGGTTAGATTATAGGGTAGTTGGTTCGGTCTTGGTTGTCTTGTAGGCTGTTATTGTTACTGTTCAATACATTCACTTTTTCAAATCTAGACAACATGTAGGAAACATTGTACTATCTAAAATAATTTAAATCTGATTATTGTCTGAGCCCATATAGTCAAGCTTCAAATGGGTTATCAGGCTGTCACATTTCTCCATTATGCCTAATGATAGTACTTAAAAGAATCTGAATTTACAAAGAAGATACATTCCACTTTAGCTTACCTGAACAAGGTACCGAGGGTCGACATTGAGGTAAGGGGACAAAGGACTCATTCCAGTCACTGAAATGAAATCACAATAGTATGTTGAATAACCTTTTAAATTGTGTAACGGTTGTATCAAC